GCGTCCTCCTCCTGTCCCCGGCACGCACCGGATGGCACTTCGATCTTCCTCTGTTCCACTGCGTGTCCCTCTGCCGTCTCCTCCTGCGTCCTCCGTTGCTGACGGTCCGAACCCGGAGTCTGACCCCCTTCGTGCTGCTAGTCCTACTGTCACGCGTCTACTGGCCACTGTTGTCACAGACCCTTCGTTTGAGTCTACTGCTGCGTCTGCTCTCGTTGCTGAGCTGGTTGACTTTGTTGCCGCCTGTCGTCTAGACTACGTCGCTAGCCTTGTTGCTGAGTCTGAGTTTGTCTGTCCTCCGTCCGTCGAGGGTGAGTGTGCTCTTGGCACGGACGTCCTTGAGGACAGGCAGGAGGACTTTGAGTGTTTTGCAACTGTTGTACCTCATCTCGTGTCCATGCTGATTGCACTTGAGGGAGACCCGGATGCACCAGACATCCCGACCCCGCGCTCTTACGCAGAGGCGATTGAGGGTCCCTACTCCTCTCAGTGGCAGTCAGCCATGGACGCAGAGATGACATCCTGGAAGTCCACAGGCACTTACGTTGACGAGGTTCCCCCTCCTAGGGTGAACATCGTCAGTGGCATGTGGGTTTTCAGGGTGAAGCAGCCGCGGGGTTCTCCGCCTGTCTTCAAGGAGCGTTACGTTGCACGAGGCTTCAGTCAGCGACAGGGAGTTGACTTCTTCCAGACCTTCTCCCCTACCCCGAAGATGACCACTCTACGGGTTTTGCTGCACGTCGCAGCTCAGCGTGACTACGAGCTTCACTCTCTTGACTTCAGCACTGCTTTCCTACAGAGCAGCCTACACGAGGAGATCTGGCTGCGCCGCCCACCTGTCTTCACTGGGTCGTTTCCTCCTGGTACCTAGTGGAGGCTCCGGCGGCCAGTCTACGGTCTCCCCCAGGCGCCTCGCGAGTGGCACGACACACTGAGGACGACTCTTGCGGCTTTTGGGTTTGCTCCTTCTACTGCTGTCCCGTCGCTCTTTCTACGCACCGACACTTCCCTGCCGCCATTCTACATCCTCGTGTACGTCGACGACTTGGTCTTTGCCACTGCTGACACTGCTGGACTGACCTTAGTGAAGTCGGAGCTGCAGAAGAGACACACGTGCATAGACCTGGGTGAGCTGCGCAGCTATCTTGGCTTGCAGATCACCCGGGACAGAGCACGGCGCACCATTACCTTGACTCAGTCACACATGGTGCAGGAGGTCCTTCAGCGCTTCCGCTTCGAGTACTCCTCGCCACAGTCCACTCCTCTGCCTACCGGTCACTTGCTCTCAGCTCTACCTTCGGATGAGTCAGTAGAGCCGAGTGGCCCGTATCCAAAGCTTGTGGGCTGCCTCATATACCTGATGACCTGCACTCGACCTGACTTTGCTTACCCTCTTAGCATCCTGGCACGCTACGTTGCGCCCGGGAGACACCGACCGAGTGTGAGTTGGAACAAAGAGTGTGAGTTGGAGAGTTCTTAAAAAGGGATCTGGGCAGGCATGACCTGTGGCTGTAAGCCTAGTAGTTGAGGGTGACGCGGAAAGAGAAGTAGAGAGGGGGAAGTTGGCGTGGAGGAGGACACAACTTCCTGCTGCTAGTGCAGAGAAAGAGAGAGAGAGTGAGTGTGGTGGTGGTGGTACTTGCTGGAGCGTGGGCATGTGGGCAGGGCATGCTCTGTGCACTTGGTAGTATAGGATCTCACTCCCTCACTCAGCGCAGAACACGTGTACCTGTATCGCCCATTCACACGAGCTCACTTGGCAGTGGCGGCGGTGGACTCAAACAGCAGCGACTCTACGATCTCAAAGAGAGACGATGCTTGAGAAATGGTCTCAAACATGGCAGATTACAGAGAATGTGTATGACCCAATGTCAGGAGGACGCAGGAGCTTCCACTCACTTGGCGGTGGCGATGGACTCAAACAGCAGCAGCTCCACAGCTTCAAAGAGTGACTCCGCCGCTGCTCCCGGCCGCTGCTGCCCCTGCGCCTGCGCCTGCCCCTGCCCCACACCGCCATCCCCCACATTCCTCCCTGCCACGGCTGTGCCACCACCACCAACACCACCGCTGCTGCTACTGCTGTCAAACTTGCCGCCGCCGCCGCTGCTGTTGCCGCTGGTGGTGGTGATGGGTGTTGCTGCTGTGGCGAGGGTGGAGACAGCTGAGGCGTACTCACCAGAAAGCCAACACAGGTGGAGAACCAACGTGTGCTGCCATGGGGGCAGGGGGGCAGAGCGGCAGGGCGGCAGGGTGGCAGGGGGGAGGGGGGGCAGGGGGGCAAGGGGGGCAGGGGGACAGGGGGGTAGGGGGGCAGGGGAGAGAAATCAGAGGGGCAGAAGCCAGTAAAACGTGAGCCGTGTGCATGGTGAGTCATGGGTCGGAAGTCGGGAGTCGGAACTGGTTCACTGCTGCAGAAGAAGTAGAGCTGTTCCGCCCACTGAAGCAGTATCAGAAGTGGGCATCCCCACGGCAAAAGAAGCAAAAAGAAGTTCAAGTTAGCGCACGCAGCAGCACACGCACAGAAAGACCGAGCAGCACTCAGCACGCCATGATGGTGACATTGGTGAGCACCCTCTGTAGCAGCGCACCCTCATAGTACCCGCAGGGAAATCCAAAGAACCCAAAGATATGAGAGAGCTCACAGAATGCTTGAAAGACTTCAGGGGGTACCTGAGCCATGGATGTAATTGGAGCAGTGATGATGCGCACTATGGTGGGCTGGCATGGACCGGGGAAACGGGGGGGCGGCATGGCCACCATGGGTATACGGGAGAAAAAGGGAAGGACGGAATGGGGGAAGGAGGGAAGTTGGCAAGGGGACAATGTTGGAAGGGAGGAAACGAGGATTTTGAAAACGTCTCAAAGGTAGTGCACGAGGGTAGGGGGTTAGGAGGAGGAGGGAAGGGGATGTGGAGAAGGGTGAGGGACTGGGAACGGGAAGAATATTGGGCATGCCAGGTTTGGTGTGTGGCAGAAGCTACGAGTTCACAATAAACCATGGCAAAGCATAGAGATTGGCCGGCTTATGACATGTGGCAGCACCTCATTGAATGACTGGTAGTGATTACCTGAACAGCAAGCAGCAACGCAGGGCAGAGTCGGAAGAGCACGAGCATGGTGTGCAGGCACAGCTGCTGCACCTGTGGGGCACAGGGGAGTGAAGGTTGGAGGGAGCGACGAGCAGATTATTTAGTCGACTTGAAAAACCAAGAGTCGGAAGAGCACGAGCAAGGTGTGCAGGCACATCTGCTGAACCTGTGGGGCACAGGGGAGTGAAGGTTGGAGGGAGCGACGAGCAGATTATTTAGTCGACTTGAAAAACCAAGAGTCGGAAGAGCACGAGCATGGTGTGCAGGCACAACTGCTGAACCTGTGGGGCACAGGGGAGTGAAGGTTGGAGGGAGCGACGAGCAGATTATTTAGTCGACTTCAAAAACCAAGAGTCGGAAGAGCACGAGCATGGTGTGCAGGCACAGCTGCTGCACCTGCCGAGCACGCAGACAGCGGACGGGAGGTGGGAGAGAGAATAATGAGCCTCATTCTCTAACGGAGCAAGGTGTGCAGGCACAGCTGCTGCACCTGCGAGCACGCAGACAGCGGACGGGAGAGGAGGAGGTGGAGGTGGGAGGGAGGGAGAGAGCGATGGGAGAGGGAAGGCGGAAGAGCAGGAAAACAGCAAGCAGTTCCTGAGATGTCTGGGAACGTTCCACCGCACCTGGTGCTGGTGCTGGTGCTGGTGCTGGTGCTGGTAGGTAACGTTGGAAAGGGCGAACTTGGAGGCGTCTCAACAGTCGCTCTAAGCAAGAGGCAAGAGTCTGTTCAGAATGTTATCAAGGCTCCCCCCCACCTGGTGTTGGTAGGTAGCGTTGGGGAAGAGAGCGTCGAAGCGGCTCATTATGACTGGCAGCAACGCCCGCCACTCATCTGTGTTAAAATATATGTTGTGTAGCATGCCAAGACATGTGACTGTACACCAATTGTGGTGTACAGTTGAGTTGGGACTACACCCAACTTTGGGTGTAGTCTTGCACTTTGGGGTGCCAATCCACCCAATTGTGGTGGAGCCCCCAAATGCAACCCACTTGGCTTATGGGTGCCTCACTTCCCACAAGTGAGGTCATCTCAAGCCAAGTGGGCCTAGGGTTGCCTCACTTCCACAAAGTGTGGGCAACCCAACCCACTTGACCTTTGGTTGCCTCACTCCCCCAAGTGAGGTCAACCCAACCTATGGTCACCATCACCTTTCTCTTCCAACTCTCTCTTCCAACTATGTATGCTAGGTTTCTCCTCTAATGAAGTTACTTGTTCAATTTGCTATTTTCACAATCTGCACGTGCCGGCGAGCAATGAGCGGCGAGAGGCGAGAAAGGAGCAGTGGGAGGGGAGCAGTGAGAGGCGAGCAGTGAGAGGTGAGCAGTGAGAGGCGAGCAACGAGAGACAGCGGGACAGAGCAGACAGGGATGGAAGGAGAGGGAGAAGGCAAGGATTAGTGAGGAAGGGAGACCGTCCAGTAAAAAACCCTTCTTCTCATTGACACCAGAACTCAATCCCTTCGAGATTTATTCGCCCCTCTCCTTGCCCCAACTCAACTCACCCCCCTTCAACTGCCCCTTGCACGTTAAATCCGTCTGAAGCAGCATGTGAGGCGCCATGGTGCTCCCCTCTATCTACCCACACTACAGGCGATTCAACCCCAGCCGTCTCCTCACCTTGCCCCATGCCTGTTAGAACCGTCTCCAGAAGTGCATCCAGCAGGTGGGGCGCCATGGCAAGGCACTCCTGCAGCCGCCTCTCATTCTCCCGGGCGTCTTCCCTCAGCCCCTCACTCCACGCCTCCACTGCTGCTGCTGCCGCCGCGGCGGCCGCTGCCGCTGGTGTTAATCCTGCTGCTGCTGCTCCCGCTGCTGCTGGTGTTGGTGATGGTGGTGTTGGTGTTACAGTTGCTTGAGACGCAGTGACAGGAGAGCCTAGGCCAGTTCCACCACCCTCCCCTCCTACTCCTACTCCTCCTCCTCCTCTTCCTGCTCCTGCTCCTCCTGCTGCATCCTTCCTTGCAGGACTCCCTGCTTTCCCAATGCCTCTCCCAACAAACCCATCACTGCCACCCCCACCCCCACCACCACCACCACCACCCCCACCACCTCCGTCCCCTACACTCCCCCACCGCCCCTCGCCCTCCCCCTGCGCCCGCCCTCCCTCTCCCCCTGCCTCTCTCCCTCCCCCGTAAACTCCTCGTTGCCTCTCACTCCGCTCACCCCCCTCACCCCCATTGCCCCCATCATCTCTGTCCTCGTTATGAGCAGCCCCAGCTGTCTGTCTACTTGCTTCAGTGAGCAGCGCTTGGGAGAATCCCGGCAGGCGCCACATGACCGCCTCCTGCTGTCTGCGCGACCCCACCTGGAGAGTAGGAGGGCAGGAGGAGAGGAGGGCACGGGGACAGAAGGGAAGGAGAACAGGGAGGCAGCAGCAGAGCACTTCGTATTTAGAGCAGTTCTGTTGAGCCCACTTCATTTTCTGAGAGATCTCAAGAAACAAGTTTAGTTCACAAGAGCCCACTTCTCATGGCTTTTGAGAAATTGCAAGAACCAAGTAACCCCACACGACACAACCTCAATTCTCTATGAGCAATCCTTTCCCCAATCCGCTAGGTTGACAATCATTCAGTCTCATTCTGCTCTCAATAACCACGACCGCTCTCACCTTCGGCCTCAGCCTTCGAACGCCATGTCACGCACTCACCTCTCCCTTCTCCAATGCCATCTCAAACACTCACCTCCGCCTCACCCGCAGCCAGCTCATCTATCAGCATCCACGATATCAGCACCACCAGAGCCGCCGGCGCACCTTTTGAGCCTGACAAAAAGACAGCCATCTCACAGTCACCTCGCCCTTCGAACGCTTCCCTCAAATATGGAAACTCACCTCGGCCTCGCCCGCAGCCAGCTCATCTATCAGCATCCACGATATCAGCACCGCCAGAGCCGCCAGCGCCATCCCCCCATCCGCTCCCCTCTCCCCTCCCGCCCTCCCTACACCCATCCCCCCCACCCCAGTCCCCCCACCCCCACCCCCCCCTGGTTTCTTCCCCCCTGCGCCCTTTCCCCCCCCACCACCAGCAGCAGCGGCGCCCCCAGCACCCGCAGCAGCACCACCACCGCCACCAATACCACCACCAGCAGCACCAGCACCAGCACCAGCAGCAGCACCAGAAGCGGCGGCAGCGGCAGCGGCGGAGGAGGCAGTTTCTGGTCGCGGCTAGCTGGCAGGCAGATTGGGGTCACTCTCACTGTCGTTGTCTGCTGTGCCTGTGAAGCCAAAGTCCATCAGGGCTAGCACGTCCTGGCCACGCGGCAGGGCAACGCATGGGGGGGATGGCAGGGAGAGAGAGGGGGAAGGGTGGAAGGGGAGTTGGGGAGAAGATGGGAAAAGGGGAAGTTAAGAGGGGTCGCTCTCACTGTCGTTGTCTGCTGTGCCTGTGAAGCCAAAGTCCATCAGTGCTAGCACGTCCTGGCCACGCGGCAGGGCAATGCATGGGGGGGATGGCAGGGAGAGAGTGGGGGAAGGGTGGAAGGGGAGTTTAGGAGAAGATGGGGAAAGGGAAAGTGGGCTGGGGCCGCCGTCACCGTCATTGTCTGCTGTGCCTGTGAAGCCAAAGTCCATTAGGGCTATCACGTCCTGGCCATGCAAGAAGGGGGATGGCAGGAGGAGGGGGAAGTGGGGGAGGGGGGTTCGGGAGAAGTAGGGGAAAGGAGAAGTGGGGAGGGAAGTTGGGGAGAAGTAGGGGAAAGGGGAAGCGGGTTGGGATTTCTCTTGTTGTTGTTGTGTGATGTGCCTGTGTAGTGAAAAGCAGAAGGAGAATATAGGTGGCGGGGGGACGGGACGGGACACTCACATCAGCAGCTGGCTCCGCTGCTGCAGCCATGAGCTCAATCTTGAGGACACTCACTGTCAAAAGCAAAGCACTACCGGTATAGGAGGCGAGGGTTCAGCCACTCACATCAGCAGCTGGCTCCGCTGCTGCAGCCATGAGGGTGGACGCCCTGCCGCCTGCTGACATGCCCAGGGCGATGGCCAGCACTGCAAGAGGAGTGGGCGGAAGGAGGGGATTGAGGGGTGAGAGGGAATAGGAAGGGGAGGTTGGCAGACTGACAGGCCACGAGGGTGGACGCCCTGCCGCCTGCTGACATGCCCAGGGCGATGGCCAGCATTGCAAGAGAAGTGGGCGGAAGGAGGGGATTGAGGGGTGAGAGGGAATAGGAAGGGGAGGTTGGCAGACTGACACGCCATGAGGGTGGACGCCCTGCCGCCTGCTGACATGCCCAGTGCGATGGCCAGCACTGCAAGAGAAGTGGGCGGAAGGAGGGGATTGAGGGGTGAGAGGGAATAGGAAGGGGAGGTTGGCAGACTGACACGCCATGAGGGTGGACGCCCTGCCGCCTGCTGACATGCCCAGTGCGATGGCCAGCACTGCAAGAGAAGTGGGCGGAAGGAGGGGATTGAGGGGTGAGAGGAAATAGGAAGGGGAGGTTGGCAGACTGACAGGCCATGAGGGTGGACGCCCTGCCGCATGCTGACATGCCCAGTGCAATGGCCAGCACTGCGCGGAGGGAGGGGAGTGGGGGCCGAGAGCGAGGGAATAGAGAGGAGAGGGAGCAGGAAAGTGACAAGCCATGAGCGAGTGGACGCCCTGCCGCCTGCTGACATGCCCAGGACGGTGGCCAGCACTGCCCAGGGGGAGTGGGGGGTGGTGGGAGGGAATAGACGGGGGGAACTGGTTGGTAGAGTGACAGGCGACTGCCGGTGTGTTTCTTGCAGCAGAGCAGCCATGAGGGTGGCCGCCCTGCCGCCTGCTGACATGCCCAGGGCGATGGCCAGGGCCCAGCACGGCGAGAGAGGTGGGGAGTGGGAGGGAATGGACGCGGGAGGTTGGTTGAGTGACAGGCAAGTGCCAGTAAAAAAATAGAGACAAAATACACAGGGAGCAGGAAGGCGGGGGCAGGGAGCAGGGAGCAGGGAGCAGGGAACAGGGAGCAGGGAGCAGGGAGCAGGGAGCAGGGAGCAGGGAGCAGGGAACAGGGATCAGGGAGCACGGAGCAGGGAGCAGGGAGCAGGGAGCAGGGAGCAGGGAACAGGGAGCAGGGAGCAGGGAGCAGGGAGCAGGGAGCAGGGAACAGGGAGCAAGGAGCAGGGAGCAGGGAGCAGGGAGCAGGGAGCAGGGAGCAGGGAGCAGGGAGCAGGGAACAGGGAGCAGGGAGCAGGGAGCAGGGAGCAGGGAGTAGGGAGGAGGGAACAGGGAGAAGGGAACAAGGGAGGAGGGAACAGGGAGAAGGGAGCAGGGAACAAGGAACAGGGAGGCGGGAGCACCTGGGAGGTCAAGGAGTCAGAGGAAGAGGGGGATGAGCGAGGAGGAGGAGAGAAGGTCCGGAATGAGCTGTGTGAACTGAGGCAGCACGCTGGGGAGGGAGGGGGGAGACAGGAGGGGGGATGGGGAGGACAGAAGGGGGATGGAAGGGGAGGAGGGATGGGGAAGAGAGGAGAGCGAGGGAGAAAAATGAGCTGTGAACACATGAGGCATGATGTGAGATGCCTAAACGCAGAAGCAGAGCATGTGCCTTGGGGGGGGGGGTTCTTCCCATCGAAGATATCCCATTTTAGATTGTCTATTAAAGCACACTGTGCAATACATCTGCATGGGCTCACTCACATCACATCACATCACATCACATCACATGCTGCCACCAGACAAGGGAGGGTCATGTGAGGCGGCTAAAGAGCTACAAGAAAATACCTCACATGGCCCTCCCGCCACCGTCTTGTACAAATCTAGGCGTCTAGAAAGGAGCTTAGAGGACCTGCATGGAATGGACTCACTCACATGCTGCCGTGCGATGCGAGGGTCTTGAGAAGAAGCGGAAGGTGCTGGTAGAAAACGGGCAGGAGCGAGGGAAGGCAAGGCATGAGGAAAGGCAAGGGCGAGGAGCATGGGCGAGGCAAGGGGGAGGGGCAAGGGCGAGGCGACGGGGAGGGCCAAAGGAGAGGGGCAAGTGGGAGGGGCAAGGGGAAGGGGCAATGGCAAGGGGCAATGGGGACGGGCAATAGGGAGGGGCAATGGGAGGGGCAATGGCGAGATACAGCGAGAGTGAGATCGATGGGATGCGCACAATGAAGCAAGCGGTAGAAAAAGGGGAGAGATACATGTGGACGGTGAAGCAGATACAGGAGGGAACGGAATGGAGGGCAAGCGAACGAAAATGGGAGAGAGAGACGGGGGCATATGGGGTGGTGGGGGGGATGGGACACGGGGGACAGGGGGGGGGAACGGGGGGGTCGTGGGGGAATTTGGGGGATGGAGAAAATGAGCATGAGGGTTGGTGCAAAGGAGACATGGGGAAGGCGTTGGAGCGAATGCTGTGTGGCGCACCTGCTGCAGAATGCGGGGGTGGGAGTGGCGCAGGGGCAAGCGGCAGGAGGTGAAGAAGGAGAGGCACTCTCGCGCAGCAACAGGGTCCCAGAACCAACTGTACGCAAAGGGGGGACGGGGGAGGGGGAGGAGGAAGGGGCGGATGGCGGGGGAGGGGAAGGGGGAGGAGGAGGGGGGAGGTGGAGGGGGAAGGGGGAGAGGAGATGTGAGAGGGAAAACAGTGAAGGCTTGATGATATGTGTGTGGATGATGGCGTGTACGAAAACGATGTGGGTTAGGATCAAATATGGGGGAGTGGAGAGGGGAGAGGGAAAGAAATGGCGTTCGGGTGTTGAGGTGTGCGTGTGCATGATGGCTTATGCCATAATCCCACTGCCAATGCCCATGCTGCGATATGCGTCTGCACACATGCCGCACACACATGCCACTCTCACACACATGCCACTCGCACACACATGCCCCTTCCCATGTCAAAGCCACCGGGCAGAAGAGATGACGTGAGAGAAGGCCGCGAGGAGAAGCAAGGCCGCATACGTACGAGGGAAGGCAGGAGGTCATGAGGGTGTTGAGAGCGGTGTCTAGCGGTAGCAGCCCTTCCTCCCCTGCTGCTAGGAAGAAGCGCAGCGATGCCTGGGATGGGACATGGATGGGGTGGGAAGGGGGCGGGTGAGGGGGGTGGGGGAGGAGAAGAGAGGTAGGATGGGATGGAGGAAAGAGTCAAGAAAGAATGAGCGAAGCAAGGTTGTGTTGAAGTGAAGCCACTACCATTTGACGCCGTGCACCATGCGATACGGAAGGGGCGGGATTGTAATAAGGAGAGGCGCTCTAAAAGAGAATTAGGGAGGGCAGAGAGGGGGGAGAGAGGGGGGGGGGTGGGGGTTGGGTGGGAGGAAGGGAGGGAGGAGGGAGAGAGGATACGGAGAGATGACGACTGGGGACTTGCCTTTTGAGGCGAATCTAAAGTAGGGGTTGGAGGGGTGTGGGGAGGAAGGGGTGGAAACCGGGCCTTACAACGAGGAGGGGAGCTGCAGCGGGTGGGGGCCGGGAGAGGGAGGAGCGGTGGGCGGAGGGCGCGAAGAGGCGGTGCACGAGGCGGTTGAGATGCGGCAGCACCTGGTGCTCCCACTTCTCCCTCCGCCGCTGCTGCACATGCTGCTGCTGCTGCTGGTGATGGTGATGGTGGTGATGGTGATGATGATGATCGGGCTCATGGTTGTGGTGTCTTCTCCCGCCCCGTGCATCTGGGCCGTCCACGTGGCCCAGGAAGATGAACTGGTGAAGGCGACGCACCTGAGAACCGGGGAATTCACATGAAATGACGGAGGCCGGGGGGGCGGAGGATTGCTAAGTACTTTCTGCACGCTGCGTTGACAGGAATGATAGGTTAGTGCAGGGGAACGAAAGAAAAATAAGAAAACAGAGAGATGATAGGTCGAGATGGAGAAAAATAAGCGGAACTGGTTGAGAGGGTGGCGTCGGCGGCGGCTCCAACATTGCTCGCCGACAGTCAACATAAGCCCAAGCAGCACGCCGATGTTCGTTGAATTGCTCCTCTGCTTCTCTGCGGTGGAGGTGTCCCAGCCCGTCCTGCGGGATTTCACCTCATCCCACAACACAACACACGACAACACACCACAACCATTCTCCGTCCCTTCCGCCGTCTCACACGCTGCGTTTGATTGCGTTTACCTCATGGTCCAAAAATGGCTGCGACCCACGTTGGTTCCTTGGGTTCTTGCCCTGCTTGCATGTGCTTCACTCTGTGCTTCTCGCCGTGTGGGTTTCCCTCGCCTTGCCTCGCCTCGCCTCGCCTCGCCACACGTCGGGCATGTGTGCTGGTTGTGCCGTCCACGGGGGTGGGGGGCGCACGGGGCGGGCGGGGGGCGCGATGGCAGTGCGTGCGCTGGAGGCGCTGAACGCGGCGTGGCAGCTGTGGCCGTCTAATTCCAACCGCTCACGGCGCTGCGACCAGTGGGCTTATATCCAGTGCAACGCGCAGGGATTCATCACTGCCGTGTATGTGTGCGTGCTCTGGTGTTGTGTGGGTCCGCAAGGGAGCGCCGTAGGGGGAAGACAACAAGTGTGGGTTGTTGCAAGCACTTGGGCTTGGGCCAACGTGAACGCTGCTTGTGGGTCGTTGCTCCAGAGGAGTGAAGGGGAAGTTCAAGAGATCACTGTAGCTTTTGTGTGTGTGAAACCCCTGCACGTGCGTCCGTGCATTGTTTCTATTGCCGCGTGAGCGCGCGCGCGCGTGCGCGCGCGTGTGTGTGTGTGTGTGGATCCCGGGACTGTACATGCATGCGTTCATCTTTGAGCCTCTTGAATGCAACACCTTGTTCTGTGCAGCGTTCTGGATTATTCTGGGAGCGACATGAATGCGACCATGCCTCTCGATGTCTTCTCCGCCATGCCTTTCCTCAGACGCCTGTGAGTCAGTTGCCCCTATACAGCGCCCCCCCACCCCCACCTTCACTTTCCGTTTCTCTCATCCCATCCTACAACGCGTTGCTTAGTAATGCTCAGTATCCCCCAAAGCCTCTTAGCATTATTGCGAATTCATTCTATTGGTCTGAAGGCTTCGTTGTTATCACTCCTATGTTCGTCCTTTTGCGTTACCATCCCATATCTGCGTTCCCGCTCCCATGTCCTAGTCTTTCCTCTGCATTTCCATGATCTTTCTGCTGACATTCGTGCTCCTCTGTGCCTAGTACTGTGCGTGTGCCAGTCACTGGTGCAGATTCAGCCTGGACGTTTGATCAGTGAATTCGATTTAACCAACACGCCGTTCTGGCCAAGCTTGCCCAGCCACTCCATCCCATCCCTAGTTTACCCTTCCCTCCCCTCATACACCCTCTGATTTCTTCCCTCCGCTCCCCTCCAACCCCCCACCCCCCCCCCCCCCCCCCCCCCCGCCACCCCTTTCTCCTCCCTCCTCCCCCCCCCTTTCTGCGCAATCACCTACCCACACCCCTCCATCCCCCCCTATCCCGACCCCCATCTCCACTTCCCTTTCCCATTCTCCCCCGCCCTGGCACCCCTCCCCCTCCCCTCTCCTGCACATCAGTGTCCTAGGAGAGAACGCCAATATCTATGGGTCCATCTCTGACCTCCCTCTGCCCCCCTCCCTGCGCATGCTGTGAGTGCTGCCCGTACATGCACCGTATCCCTTCCTCCTCAATGTTTCCGGATCCCATCACACTGATAAGGTCACGGTTAGGCGGGCTGTGTCATGGCGTGGTGGTGTTGAGATCATCCAAGTTTCAGTTGCCATTGTATATAATCCAAGTTTCACTTCCTGAGCTCCCTCTGAACCTTTTTTCTCCCACATTTTCGGATTCCGTTCTTCTTCCCACGTAAATGCGGGCAGGGACATGTATGCGACTGGAGTATCTGGTTCTCTACCATCCTCCATCCTCTCTCTATCAGCCCTCGCATACCTGTGAGTGCACACGTGGATTTCATAACCAGAGGCTCACCTTTCACGTGATGCTCGTCACCAAATTTCATTCACATTCACACACCGGACGTTCCTGAAGCTTGAACAGCGGTTATGTCTCGTGATGTGCCTGCAATGCAAAGCGTCCCAGGCTTAAAGACGTGGATGCCACTTACAGGGTGGTGGGTGCGATCTTTGTCCATTCATATTCACGCCCTCTCTGGCTATGTTGGAATATACGCGGATGACATATCGTACAAAATCGCACTAAACTCTTTCAATCATACTGATCTGTAGATCCTCCCCCCTCTCTGATATAGTCAGAATATGGTGAGTCAAGGATGTTTTTGTTTTTTTTTGCGCAGCGGGAAATACTTCTGGGGGATGGGATGGAGAATGGCAGTTAGAAGCCAGAATGCACCAGAGGATGCATCAAGCAGTCTTTATCTAATATGCGAAAATTACATCAAAACAGCACCTATTCCTACTTTCCACTATAAGCCATGTTTTAGGTGGACCCAGCCACGCCACCCACAGGTGGGCCATCTAAGTCGCTGCTAGTGGTGTCTGGCGAGGCATTGGGGATACTCATTGCTGCTCTACTACGGCTATGCTTAGAGTTAAGAAGAGAGTCGAAATGAAAATGTGGTGAGAGAGGTGAGATCGGAATTGCCACACACCTTGCGGATATACTTACGTTGCCGTGCACACTTCACCAGAAGAGTGAGTCGTGATGAACGGGATGGGTTGGGGGTGGTTGGTTGGGAGGCGGCGTGTGGTGATGAGCGGTGGAAGGGGGGGAGAAATGGCAGGGAACCTAAGTTACGTGCACCAAAATATGGGTTGGGTTTGGGAGGTGGTGTGTGATGATGTACGGGTGAGGGCGGGAAATGATGGAGGCATTGAGCTGCGTGCGTGGACTAAAAATTGGGACCTTTGTTCTCGACCTCGGCTGATGGTTTTTTTACCGTGTGCATCATGTTTTTCCGTGTGTGCGTTTTCGTATCTACGTGGTATGATTTCTGGCCAGGGTGGATATTCCAACATAGCTCTCTGCCTCTCCCATCGCCGCCATTTTCTAATGCTGCTTCTCTTCCGCCCCCACCCACCTTCTCTCAACCCCACAACCAGAGACATTGCTTACACTTTCATCTCTGGGAGCCTGCCCTCCAATCTCAGCCGCCTCTCCCGCCTCACATACCTGTCAGTTTTTCGTCGTCCTTGATTGTTTTTTGTTTCGCTCTTGATTTTTTTTGTTTCGCTCTTGATTGTTTTTGTTTCGCTCTTGGTTGTTTTTGTTTCGCTCTTGATTGTTCTTGTTTCGTTCTTGATTGTTTATGTTTCGTTCTTGACTGTTCTTGTTTCGCTCTTGGTTGTTTTTTTCTCGCTCTTGATTGTTCTTGTTTCGTTCTTGATTGCTTTTGTTTCGTTCCTGCCATCCTTCTTCACCTGCTCCTTGTACCTTCTGTTCCATGTCTCCCCTTTCACTCTCCCCTCTCGCTCCCTTCTCCCTCCTCCTACACCCCTCTCTTCCGATGACCCCATCCCATGCACCTCCCTTCCTGGACTTTCAGCAACAGCAGCATCTCTCCCGTCTCCCTTAACCCCTACCATACACCCCCTCCCTCCCTGGACCCTTCTCTTCTCCTCTCAGCAATATCGGTGCACCGAACATCACGGGTCGTTTGGAGGACCTCTCGTGGATCTCAAGTCTCACCAACCTGCGCTCTCTGTATGCCCTGCTTCCTACCAGTGTGTCCCGCATCCTCTCTGTATGCCATGCTCCTCTGTATGCCCAGCATCCTATGCCCTGCACCCTCTCTCTGTTTCCCCCGCATATATGCAAGCACGTGGTATGTTCTGCTGCTAATGACTGCTCTGTGTACGCTGCTGCTAGTGCTATTCTATATTCGT